AGAGATGAGTCTGCACAAAGTGCACACTCAGGGCATGGACAAGAGGTCAGGCACACTACCAGAGAAGAGCAAGCTATTCCTCGGTTCACACATGCAAGAGTCTCTCATACCATATCCTAATGCAATTTAAGGCCATTTTTTACTTGAATCACAGCCAATGAGAAAGAAAACGAAGTTTCATTCAAAAATCAGTTGACTGAGGCATGATTTCAGGTGTCACAATAAAAACTCAGCCAGTCATTGCTCCCTACCTACTGACCTCTCCAGGGATTCCCTCACTGATTCCAAAAACAGCTAGCGAAGACATGTGTCAGCTTTAACATTTGCATCCCAAAGTTTTAACATGTTCCCAGCACTCGAAAGACTGGTGGTACATGCATCACTGTTGCATTGAGTGGCTTGTACTATTGGTGGTACAAATGGATCTAATCACCTCTACTGGACTTTTTACTAATAAAATGAAAAGACACCCAGTGGGATAGTCATGCACGTGCTACCAGTGGTTCAAGCTGCCCAGCAGCAAGACATAAATTATGGCTCCATTGTGAATATGTTAAAGCATTCATTAGCTTTCAAAAGCTCCTCAGAACTTCTCACTGAATTCTATTTTTGCCCAAGGCAAGGCCAATGTTCTCCTTAAAGAGTGAGGACACTGGGTGCCCCAGAGGTCAGAGGGCTTTCCAGGTCACACAGTAGAGACTAGACTACCAGGAAAAAATTCTGGATCCTACTGCACAGCAAACAACTTATGAAAAAGCAAAACCTGGTTCTGGTCTCATTAGCATGATATTCCTGAACTCAAAACATGAAGTTCCACTGAAAATACGCCACATCTCCAATTTCCCCAAACTCCACAACCCAGAATAACAAGCTACTTTATCAAAAATTAAGAGGCTGGGCGTGGTGGTGCACTCAGCAGGCTGAGGCAGGAGGATCACTGTGAGTTTGAGACCAGCCTGGGCTAAATAGTGAGTTCCAGGTCAGTCTCAACTACATGGTGAGACCCTGTCTCAAAAAAACAAACAAACAAACAAAAATTAAGGAAGCTGTTGTTATACTACCTAAAACTTGATCTCAAGACAAATTGTTCATTTGACTCACTTACATATAACATTTTAAAAACATTTTTCCAAAGGTCTAAGTTCCACAAATCCACAGCCTAGAAGAGATACTCAAAAGTCCCAAGTCTATTCTCATGCACACCAGAGTATTCTACACCTTAATGACTAAGATGATAACATTGTCAATTCCATCCTTGCTGTTGTTCAATCTCCAAATATGGAGAATTCATAGCTTCTTCAGTCTCTCTTCCTTCTGCAATACATCCACAATCATAAATTTCTATTAGTGATTACCTTTTTCAGTAGAACACACACTGACACTTCTCTCCACACTGCTGCCTGGCAGGCTTTCAAATTTTCTACCTGTTCTTTGCATTTGTGGTGACACAAACTGAGCAAGATATTCTCTCCCAGGAGCTCAACAGGGCTTTGCATTAGAATGCCCATTCCCATCAACCATAGTCTTTGGCTCTTCTGGGTTCCAAACTGACCTTTAGGAAGGCATTTCAGGTCACCATTCAGGTCCATTTCAGTCACCGTTCAGGACTATGCCATAGGTGTATCTAGATGCATATCCCTACCCCAAGGTCCCAGGCAATAGCAATCCAATCCTTCACTATTAGTCAGGCTTTGGCAACACAGCAGAGACAGATGGCTTATGTGGGTGCTCAATTACCTTGGCTACCTGAGCAAATAGATTTCGTTATCTTTCAGAAAAATAACACAAAACAAACAGCTTTAAAAAAAAAAAAATCAAACCTGCCAGCCTAGTAAGATGGGCTCCTACCAAAGAAGCTGGGAAAGGCACTAAAACTCTAATCCCACAATCCCACTACAGAATCTGAGATTTTTTTCTTTTTTCTTTTCTTGGTACTGGGATCAAACTCAGGCCCCTGCACTCGCGAGGCAGGTGGCAAAACCACTGAGCCAAATCCCCAGCCTGAATATGAGATATTTTTAAACCATTAAGGGTAAAAGTTTATCATTTGGGCCTTTGGTGTTGCCCTAGGACCACAGTCTGTTCTGTTCTGACAAGACTATCTGGGACTAGTCAACAGACAGCTGAGGAGTCTTATGGAATCTTGGCTAATACAGAATGCTCTGGCCAAAGAGATTGGGACTGGATTCCATCTCTACTTGCTAGCTTTATGACCTTAGAACTGTTCAATGTACTTGAATCTCTATCTTCATCAGCATCACAGAGATAACTAATCTGATGTGACAATTACAATAACCAAATGCATTAATGTGCCAATTATTTCTGTTTTTCCTTGAGTGCCTGACAATCATGAGCCCTGGGGTGAAGTATAGATGTTACAAGGAAAAGAATACCCTACCAGGTAGTGTCACACTTTTTAATTCTTTACTTTTCATTTATTCTATACAGGTCATTTATAACAGACAAGTTATTTTCACAACAAATTAAGCTTACAAGAAGAAATTCTTATCCTTGGAAATGGGATAAGAATACAGAAAAAAGATTGCTTGAATTAGGACCAATGAAAGAAAAATTTTACTTTGAACAATGCTTAAATTGTATTACACTCTTATTCAAGAAGCTCTAAAATGTCTCCATTGCTCTAGGCCAGTGTTTCCCAAATAGTTTTGCACAGAACATTAGTCCTTTGAGATAATCTTTGCAAACAGTTTTGTATCCAACTATGATTTGCAGAGGCACCATAATGCATCCCCATCTTAGAGACTCAAAATGTCAGTATGGGGGCCCTACGAAGCTCTACCTTAAAGAAAGATGCTTATTTGATTAATCAAGGTTTCTCAATCATCTGACCACATTGCTCACTCTGCTAAGAGGACACAGAAAGCTCAGCCCAGCTGCCAAAAGTCTACCTTGTCTTTAACTCCAGCCCCCCAAACTCCCTACAGATACACGTACCATGTAGGTTAAACCTGCCTGGGTACTGTCCCCAGGTCCTGCCTTTTTGTTTATAATAACTTTACTGATAGAACACACAATTCACTCATTTAAAGTATATAATACAATCATTTTTAGAACATTTGTAGAGCTGTGCATCCCTCATCACAACCAATTTTAAAACATGCCCCCCACACACAATCATACCCAACAGAAATCAAGCTTCCAACTGTTAATCTACTAGGTTTGCCCACTCTTGACATTTCATATAAATGGCATCATACAATATGTGGTCTTTTCTATATGGTTTTGTTCATTTCCTATTTTTTCCTGGCTTACCAATACAGTAGCATGAGTCAGTTCTTTGTTCTTTTTATGACCAAATAATATCCATTATATATATATTCCTGTTTTGCTTACTTATCAGGTGATGGACATTTAAGTTGATTTCACCTTTTGGCTATTGTGAATAATGCTGCTATGAGCATTTATAACTTTTCAGACTGAATATAAGGGGATATATATATGAGTGGAATCACTATGATGACGGCATATGAGAACACTCTATTGAACCTTTGAAGGACTCCTGGATTATTTTCCAAAGTGGCAGCACCAATTTACATTTCTGTTAGCAGTGTAAGAGGACTCTCCTCTCTCCACAACCTTGCAATACATGTTATTTTTGAGTACAGCCATCCTACTAGGTAGGAAGCAGTATTATCTCATTGTGATTATGTAACCATTCCTCTTGATGCCTGCCCTTGTGGTCACAGTATTATACTTACATAAGTGCCTTCTCAGTCTGCATCCAACTAATTCTGCCAGATCACCCAGCTAAAACCCTACAGTTTTCTTGGAATCTGCAACATTGTCTCCAAACTCAATTTAAATGACACTAAGGCATAGCTTCTATTTATAGTTCCTGCAATTATGGGCTTTTACTGTCTTAGGTCTTTCTCTTTCCAACTAGTGAACTCTTTGAGAAGTAGAATGAGGAAAGTGTTCCCTATGTCAATCAACAGATGGATGGATAAAGAAAGTATGGTATTTATACATCATGGAATACTACTCTACCATACAGAAGAATAAACTTGAGTCATCTGTAAGAAAATGGATGGATGCTCCTTGAGACCATAATGCTAGGCGAAATTAATCAGACACACAAGCTTAAACATTGCATGGTTTTTCTTATATGAGAAACTCAAAATACACTAAAAATAAAGACCAAAATAAAAGAAGATAAGAGGAAACAGAGATCAGTCTTTTGCAAAAGGGAAGGGGACCAAGAGGTGGAGGGACAGGGAAGAGAAAACAAAGGGATTAAAAAAAATTGAGATGTACATGTACCAGCTACACCAGAGGAATGTAATTATTGTGTACAATGTATGCAAACTGTGTGCAAATATGTACTAACAAAAAACAAAATTTAAAAAGAATATAGATGTGAGAATTCAAAAAAGTGAAATGAGGTCTTACATTTCTTACAACTTCATAAATGTTTACTGATACAATTTAATGCAGGGGCTGAGGCTGTAGTTGAGGCAAATAAAAATAAGGGAGAGGGAAAAGAAGTGAAGATGCTATAAAATCATTCTCTTGAAACTTGGCATTGTAGTGCATGTCTGTAACCCCAGCACGTGGGAGGATGAATCAAAAGGATCACTGCCAAGTTTGAGGCCAGCCTAGGGTACATAGTGAGTTCAAGGCCAATCTGGACTACATGGCAAGACCCTGACTCAAAAAACTAAAATTCTATTAAGTGATCATAGATCAATCAATCCTCCATTCCTTTACACCAAGTGAGGAGCAAAGAGGGCCCTAAAGAAGTCAAGGAGAAACGATATGCAAGGGAAATAATTCTGAGGAACTGCTGCTCTCTAAGTCTAGGTTCAAGGTCACAAAAGCAAGACAAAGATAAAAGGGAAAAGAACTTGGGCTGCTTTGCTTCCCAGATGTTTCTTCAATCCTAGCCTCACTGCTCCCTGGTGAGCATGAATAGCAAAGCAAAGTGGGAACTCCCCTTCCTGCCCTGACTCTTGCGAAAACTAGAATGAGATTTTTCTCACCTGGCCATCTGCTTGTAGGCTTCTTCTGCCACAGCAAAGATGTGGGGGTCCATGTCTCCCATGTTTTGACCGCTGTAGGCATAGATGACATCTTGTCCGTAGATTGGCAATTGCTCATAAGGGTTAATGGCAACAAGCACAATACCTGCAGACAGACAACACAGTCAGATTTCTACAGTGCAACAGTCCTGTGGCATCAGCTTAAGGCACCAGTCATGTACATAGGAACTAAAGAATAAGAAGAACAGGATGAGTCTTAACCATTGAAGTAAATCAAGACAGATCTGTGTGCTTCTGAGGTAGGCACCCCTGAAGAAAAAAATGAGATACAGGCTGGGCCTCCAGCCAGCTTATAGCCTGGAAAAGCTATGTACTCACACATGCACATGCTCATAAATGATCAACACACTGTTCATAAAATACAGCTATGCAAAGTATTTCAGGATGACATAGAGGAGGTTTCTACCAATAGTACCAATAGGTATGAGACTTAAAAACTCATCTAAGAATTAAAACATGTGATAGTTTTTTTCATTTGTATATTGTTTATCTTAACTAAGATACAAACAATCTAAAGACAGAGTATAACTGGTGTACTACTTAACCTCTCAGTGCTTCAACAAAACAGAGCTAACAACTGCACCTACCTGGGATGTCTGCAGGATAACCTGAACAATAGGAGGAATATTCACATTAGTGCCTTGCACAGTAAGCACCATGTGTTTGCTTTTTATCATGTAATATCTTGTATCTTAATTTTTTCTTACATCTTGTGTTTCCCAAAAAGGACATATTGTAATGGCAGGTTTAATAAATATTCTGACTGAGCAATCAGGGAATCCTGTAAGATTCAGAGCGTCTTTTATAGGTAGGAGGGGCATTGGGGAATGTGCAAAGAAAAATGCAAATTCTTTCTCTAAGACAGAAGATTGACTTTCTTTCCCATAAGATCGTATTTTGGATGTCAGAAGATCTATGCACTGAGGTACAAAACCAGAAGCTTTTCCAGTTGCTTGGGGAAGAGGAAATAAGAACAGTCAGGTTTCTGGCCATGGGAATTCTACATTGTGTTCCCCTCTACTGAGACATGAGGAATCTAAAGTGTAAGAAATCAGATTATTCCAAGTAAAGATGTGAAGGCCAGGGGAGGGAAGATACATAAGACTTCCAATGCAAAAAGACTACCAGAGGGCAGGGAATTTAGCTTAGTGGTAACCGCCTGCCTCTCAAGTACAAGATCCCAAGTTCTATGCCTGGTACCAATAAATAAATAAATAAGAAATTACAAAAAGACTGCTAGGATCAAAAACTTGAAGTCCAGAATGCTTGTAAATTCTATAAAACAAGGCCAATCACTTGGAGAATCCTCTTAGAAGTACCAGTGCAAATTCTTATGGTTATTAGAGAAAGCTATCAATCTAACTCATGTAGCATTCAATTCAAATTTTCATCTCGGATCCTGAAGTTACATTTTCCTAAAATACTCTAGCTCCCACTAAGAAGCCAGGTCCCTGAATGGCTAATGCCAGAGTTGCTGTGGTATGCCTGGATAAACAGTGACCAAGGGCAACTCTGAGGGATTCCTAATATCGAAAGTTAATGATCATTTATCCTAAAATGGGAGATTTTTGTAAAGCATAAAATTCAAATCAAATTCCCACTAGAAGTTGGGGTGAAGGAGCTTTTGGGAAACTATCCCTCTCTCAAACATTAAAATCTGGCAGAACAGCTCACCCTAATATACTAGGTAACTTACCATTTCCAACTCCAATAAAAGTAGAAGGCAATACTGTGATCAGGAATAAGAATGGGGCTCTGGAGCACAACCAGGATAATTTCCACAGAGATGCTCCCTGGTCCAACTCCCCAGTCAACTTTCCAACTTGAAAGCGCAAACTTCTCAAGCAACAGTTCACCAGGTTTTATTTTTGACATACCACTTAACAATGCTCAAAGGGTGCAAAGAAACCAACATTTTCGGACATGGGAAAGGAGAAGTTTCAAGAAAAACACATATGATAATTTCAGAACTTTCTGTTTTTAAGCACTTGTTACAGGCTTCCTTACTAATTCAACAAAGATTCATCAAGTACCATGTTTGAACACAGGCAAATGAGAAGGTCAGAGAGAAAGGCAGCCATTTGAAGGAAAAAGCACAAGCCAGGCTCATATGTGCAGATGTGAATTTCATGGTGAGAGTATGCACCAGAGGTCAGATACTATGCTGGACCTACACTCTCTTATGAATCCAAGGACAGGCCTAAACCAGCTGCCCCATTGGGTGTGCCCCTTTCTACATTGGTTGAACTGTGATTAACACCAGCCATCCTACTGAGGCAAAGGCAGCTTACCATGTTCATTGATTGCAAACATTTTGAGGGATTCAGATGTGAGGTACTTGAACATAAGCATAAAATCAAAATTTTTAACCATTTAATAAACTGACATCTAAAGAAAAGCTTTTTTGTTTTTTTAAGAGTAGGAAAATTTATTGAGGGAAAGAAAGCTTCTAAGAGAGAGAAAGAGACAGAAGGGGGACCAGAAAGTGGGTTGCCCGCTCACCCCACTTCTCAAAGATGTTTTATACAGCAAAACCATGAGGTGAGATGGGTACAAAGTGGGACAAAACTGTAAGACCCAATGGAAAATTACAAGGTGGGCATGAGTTGGGGCAAAACCATAATCAACCAATAAGATTACAAGTACAGTTACCCAGGTAATATTGATTAAATGGGAATCAAATGGGGGAGCAAGCCACATAGCAAGCTTACAAGGATTTTCAGTAATGGAGGGGGTCAGGGATATTTCCTGGAAAGGCTGGTTTAAGGCCTTGGCTCCCCACCTAGGTGACTAAACTATTCAGAGTATCAATCACTGCTATTCATCCCCAGGTGAAGCACAAAGTTATAGTAGTTTCTCTCCTTTTACAATTCTGGCCTCCAGTGAATGTGTCGTGATTGTCCTCCATGTTGGCTCCTTGCTGTGTTGACTCCTTGGGGGCAACCCTGTCTAACTACCTACAAGATATCTAATTAATTTACCTATCTTCAAGATTCCCCCCTCTGAAGAATTGTCCCTAACTGCTGTGAGGGGGCAAAGGGTGAAGACAGCTCTGGCTACTTCCAGCTAAAGAGGGTCGTAGTTGTGATTAGCAGTTAGAGTTACTCCACAGAGGGTCTCTCTTAAGTAAGTGCCTGGCATTGTCATCTTGGTGGCTGTGCCTGGAGGAGAAAAAGCCAAAGAAACAGTTAAGAATGAATGGGCCAAATTATAAAGTCAGCAGGATTGCTATGAACATAGTCCACAAAGAAGATAAAGGAGAATGTCCAGGGGACTTCAGAATCCAGCATAGAAGTCATGTGGTTTGGTTTAGCAGTTACAAGTTGTTTACAAAGTCAATCTGGTGGATCCCAGTAAAAGAAGTCTAGCACATTTGTTATTGGTTCCATTTGTATGACTGCTTATAGTTTGGCAGCCTCTAGGCAAGAATAAACAAAACTTTTAAGAAATTAGAATATGCATAATCTTAGCGCAAGCACACTAGAATGAAAAGGCAGGTTGGGGAGAAAGTCGTAGAGATTGAAATAGTGATTGAACCTATTGTACTTAAGATTCTTTCATTGATAGAGTTTATCTATAAGTCTGATACTTTGTCATAAGTCTCTCTAGTTTTAGCTGTACGATGAGACAATCTGAAGAACAAATTTCACTAGAAATATAAAACTTTAGCTGAACTCTTACAGATTTTACCATAGTTTTTTCTAATGGTCCATAACCATGGTCAGCTACTGATAGAGCTGGAAACTGCCAGAAGGGGTCAGTGACTGGAGCCCGTTTTTATATCTAGCTTTATTACTATGGCATTATTTTATCCCTCTTAGGGTTCTTTTCTGCTGGGTGTTTAAGACCAAGTTAAAGCGAGACCTGTGTCAGTCAACATGAACCTCTTACTATCTAGCAAGGTCAGTTAAGTTTCTTCAGGCATAATTTTGGAACCATGCATAGAGCCTCTCAGCTCCTCTGTCAGAGTCAGCTGTCAGGATGGGTCATGGCCTTGCTTCACCATGTTGCTTTCAGTGACAGCATGGGAGACTTTTCCCTCATGGTGACCCTCCTTTGGCACACAGTATATTTGTCCTCTGGTGCCCAGCAATCTCCCTGCTCAGGAGGTTGAGTGACTTACCAAAGATGTAGGATCCTGTAGGAAAGGTTCCTTTGTGTCCTGGATCTTGTAGACCTTGAGGGGCCAGGGCCAAAATATTGGCTGTCCTCACAGCCCAGTTACCTTTCTAGTTTTGGTCTCCAAACTTTAGTTGTTGAACACCCAGAAGAGAAGATCAGTGATATTAGTAGTGCAGTAGGAGCAGTGAGCTTAACTATTATAATTTTGTCTGGACATTAGAAAAGCATTTCCAAACACATGCAAGCAACAGATATCCCCTACTTACCACAGTAAGTATAGATATGGTTGGACTCCAGGAAACGGACCTTCAGGTTATGCAAAACTGCAGGCTCATGGAGATAGCTAAGGGCAGTGAGATCATTTTCTCCCACCAAGATATCTGGATTCCGTAAGAAGGGCAGCTGGTTGCTTTGAACATCAATTGGGTATTCCCGAATCTAAAGAAATGCAAGTAGCAAACACATTGAGGCACAGTTATGAAACCTGTATTCAATGTCTTATCTTCCTGGCTACAATCACCATCCTAAAATGACCCTAAGTGCTTAAGATAATGTTTTAAAGAAAGACAAGCTGAACAAAATACTTGTGTTCTCATGAGAGACAAGCCCAAATGGAAAATTTACTGATAATATAATCTCAGTGTATCAATATAAAAGACCAACACAGGAAATTCAGGAAGCACAACCAAATTTAGGAGCACTTTTGCTTCTTAATAAAGAAAATACTCAGTTTTTAATTCTAGTTGCCACAGGGGTAGCTCTTTCACCCATTGGGAGACTTTTCCTTGATTGGTTGCATTTATTGGTGAGATTTCTTTATTTGTATTTTCCTCCAATCCACATATTTCCTGTTTATTTGGATTATCTACAATTGAGCCCCTGCACTCTATAAGTGGTCTCTATATATACCATCTGCAAATACATTGCTCTACAACCTATCTGCAACTTCCTTTAAGATGACAATTTTGCTTTTACCTAAAGTACAGTTAAGAACTTGGGACATATATGTGCAATCAGGGAGCAGGGTTATACATCTTAATGTCAAATCTCAAATGAAAGCCTTCTACTGCACTTTTTTGACATATCATTTGGACTATATACACAAAAATGTTTGAGAGGTCACAGTGAAGCTATACACACATGTACATGGACAGTAATTTATAAAAGGCATTGGTGGTATCTTTAAGCATCTAAGCAGGAAGAAGTTGGCTGGTGTTTTATCTGCTTTATTTGACCATTAAATTTCTAACCGTGTTCTTGAGAATAATCTGGGAAGTTTTCCTGATCTAGACTTACATTTTGAGAGCTCTGGAATATGGCCTAGGAATCTGGAGTTTTTAAAATATCTCCAATTGTTTAATATAGATGGCCTGTGGATTATATTTTATGAATTACTATCCTATGTAAGACTTCTTAGGAAATTCCATGGACACAGATTCAACTTGCTGGGGTAACAGTCAATTTCTAAGAGAATGAACTATCACTGCTCTCTAGGTCCTACTTTTAAGAGGACTTACACAATGAAATCTTTTTTTTTTTTTTTTTTTTTTTTTTTAAGCTGCAAAGGGCTTTATTTTCTTTTGGTCCAAAGGGGGCTCCAGAGGTGAAAAAGCTGCCCAGTGGCTGGAGGGAGAGGGTTAGGCCAAAGCCCTGATGTTGGGTGAGCAGGAGATCCTCAGAGGCTGCCAGACTCCCCTACCTCCTAGTCGAGCTTGAGGGTGAGCCTTTCAAAGAGGTACTCTTCCAGCCCAGCCTGGGGCCTGCCAGCCTGCAGAGATTACTGAGGTGGTCACCTATCTTGAGCTTCACCTCCTCGTCTAGAAAGTGCTTCTTCAGGAAGTCACAGAGATGGAGGTCTGTCTTGGCAGAGCCCAAGACATGAAGATCCAGAAGAGCTTGGTTCAGGTTCTTCTCCAGGGCCTGGCTGCTTCCATGGTGTCCAGGGTTTTACCCCATTCATCTTCAGAAGGTTTCCGCACATCTTGAAGGAGCACTCAGCCACTGTGCTGGTTTTGCATCTTCAGGAGATGCCCAGCACACCCTCACATTTCTCCTTAGAAATGGCCCACATCTTGATAGCAGCCATTCTTTGTGGGGTGAGGTGGAATCTCAGTGTTGTTTTCATCTGCATCTCTCGAATGACCAGTGATGTGGAACATTTTTTCAAATATTTTCTTGCTGCTTTTACTTCTTTGTCTGAGAAGTGTCTGTTCATTTCAGATGCCCATTTTTGAATCGGGTCTTTATATTTCGGGGGACTGATTGTTTTGAGTTCTTTATATATCCTTGATAATAGTCCTTTGTCTGAGGAACAGCTGGTAAAAATTTTTTTCCCACATTGTAGATTGTCTCTTAGTTCTGCTGATGGTTTCTTTTGAAGTACAGAAGCTTTTTAGTAAGATGAGATCCCAGTTGTTGATTCTATCTGCTAGTTCCCGTGCCACATCTGCCATTCAGTGGGACCAGGTAGCCACGCCCTCCCCTGCCTGCGTGCTACCAGCCCCAGCGAGGAAGGCGAGATTTGGAAAGCCACTCTGAGATCTGCTCTCCTGCCGCCCTGCTTGGGCCCATTAGGTGGGACTGGGTAGCCGAGCCCTCCCCTGCCTGCTCCACCACCAGCTCCAGCAAGGAAGGTAGCCGCGCCCCTGAAACCACCCCCGACCCTGCTCTCAGACCTCCTGACTGGGCCAGTCCTTGGACCCACTCAGCAGAGGCATAGGTGGCCATAAAAGGTATTTTTCTGAGCTCCTAACTTTGAACATCTTTAAAGAAATGGTGGGGGAAACCTGTAATAGAACTGTGCCGACTTCAACCCTGCAGGTCGGGGAACTCAATTTGGCCCTTGTGGCCTGAGGTCAGTCTGAGTCACGGAGATTTGCCATTGGCTAGCTGAGATCAGGGGACTTGGGTCTGCACATGGCTGTGCACGTGGTATATTATGAGAGCAGAGATATAGTTTGAAAGAAGCCCTTCAAATTCATTTTTTTTCTTTCTTTTCCTCATTCCACTCTGCAAATTCTTTCTTTTCTGTCCTCTTTCTCCAATTCAGTCTTTACTCCACCATCTTATCCCTCAGGTCCCTTTCTGTTCCTGATACTACCCTAACTCAGACTTCTTTTGTCATTTTTTTCTTTTTTTTATGTTCTTTTCTTCTGTCATTTTACCTCACTCATGGGTCAATAGTTTCAAGGGAAAGTGAGCCCCTATTACTGTTAAGGGGATATATTTTTGTCCTTATTCTTGCACTCTGTCTATCCCTTTTGAATTTAATAGTTTCACAAAGGTTGTATGGTCATTCTATGTCATCTGGCTTCACTTGAAACCTTCTCCACTTCTTTCAGTTATCTATTCCTCTCATTCTAACGCTTTTTAAGCCCCCATCCTAAATGGTAAAGATGCTATATTGAAAAGCATATTCACCACAAACATATTTTGGGCTGCTTCTTGATTTTAATTTAATTCACATAATTTAAAGGTGATAGATTAATGACTACCACAAGTGGTCAATTTGCAAGTTGTGCTTGATCTTATTGTGCTGCTGATTGTATCAATTGGGATAAATGATTGTGATTGATGTAATGAGTTGTTTTCTCTGATATTATGAAAATGACAATGTCTATGAGTCATTAGAGACTCAAAAGCTAAAGTGCAACTATATTAGGAAGACTTAAGTAATAACCCAGAAATTAAACCAAGGACAACCCAACAACAAAAATAAAAATGAGAAAACACTTAAGCAAGACACAAAGACAGACTTCCAGTTCACCAATGGCAAACACTAGGGTAAATGAGGATGAAAAGGCCGAGAGTGAACCACCAGGACACTCTGAACCCACAGCACAGGAAGTAACAAAACAGATCAATCCAGCTCTAGAAAAATTCAAAACAGAGATAATTTCCCAGATAACCATAAAGATGGTAAGCAAAATGGAAGTCATGATTCTAGACTCTAGAACAAAAACTGAGAAAAAAATAGATGAGCTCAAGACCATGATAGAAGCCATGAAGGCCCAGCATAAGAAAGAAATGGAAACAATGAATGCCCAACAGAGGAAAGAAATGGAATCCATAAAACAGATTCAAACAGATATCCAGGGGATTAGAAACTCTACTGAAAGTGTACGCAACAGAAGATTGCTAAAATATAATCTCAGATATAGAAGATAGGATTGCAGTCAGTGACCATGAAAACAGAGGACTCTTACAAACAGCAAGGGATCATGAGAAATCGATCCAACAACTCTTAGATGATGCAAAGAAGAATAACATAACACTGATAGGAATCCATGAAGTAGCAGGAGAAAATACAAATGACTTTAAAAAGCTGTTCACAGAATTAATGACAGAAAACTTCCCAAACAGAAGGGAAGAATTAGACATACAGATAAATGAGGTATATAGGACTCCAACTAGACATGATCCAAAAAAATCTACACCTAGACATATAATAATCAAGATCCCAGATATCTAACAGAAGAACAAAATACTAGAAGCAGTGAGAAAAGAAATAAATCACAAGCAAAGGAAAGTCAATCAGAATCACAGCAGACTTTTCAACTCAGGTCAAGGAGAGCCTGGAGTGAGGTATTGCAAGTCCTAAAGGAAAACAACCTCCAGCTGAGACTGATGTATCCTGCAAAACTCTCTTTTAAAATGGATGGAGAAATAAGATATTTCCATGACAAAGAACACCTGAGAAACTTCATGAACAACAAACCAGCACTATAAGGAATTCTAAATAATATCCTAGAAAAAGACAATGAAGGTCACAACACCATAAGTCCCAACAGAGCAAATCAAATAGGAAAGGCAAGGAACTAAAAGGAGTGTGTGAGGGGGGTAAAAAGAGTCAACAAAAGTAAAATAATATGACAATACTAAGTCAGTACATATCGGTTATAATGATCAATGTCAGTGGCCTCAATTCACCAATCAAGAGGAATAGACTGGCAGAATAGATTAAGAAGCAAAATCTAACAATCTGTTGTATACAAGAAACACACCTAGCACAAAAAGAAGCTCATAGACTGAAAGTGAAACGATGGAAAACAATTCTCCACATGACAGGAGCCCAGAAAAAAGCAGGGGTAGCAATCTTATTCACAGACAAAGTAAATTTCAAATCAAAACTGATTGAGACAAAGAAGGCCACTACATCCTTGTAAAGGGAACAATTCAAGAGGAAGAGATGACAATCATAAACACATGCACCTAATGTTAATGCCCCCAACTATATAAAACAAATATTAAGTAACACAAAAAACCAAATAAGCACTAATACAACTGTAGTGGGGGATCTAAATACCGCACTATCACAAATAGACAGATCATCTAGGCGGAAAATCAACAATAAAATACTAGAACTCAACTAAGCTTTTGAATGCATGGACTTAATAGAATCCATAGAGTGCTCCACCCCACAAAATCAGAATATATAT